CTCGGCACTGCTTACTTGTTTATTTATTCATCCTACGTACAATTACACTTACTTTTATGAATAACAATAATAACAACCGACATGTGCAAATGGTGATACATGAATTGTGTAATTATTATTAAAAAAAGCGTTTTCCCTTTTTGTGCCAGTGGTGTGGAGTGTCCGTACTGAGAGGGGTGTCCGTACTGAGAGGGGTGTCCGTACTGAGAGGGATGTCCGTACTGAGAGGGATATCCGAGCTGAGAGGGGTATCCGTGCTGAGAGGGATATCCGTGCTGAGAGGGGTGTCCGTGCTGAAAGATGGCCAGTCATGTGCATCGGTACTGAGCGGCATTTCGGTGGTGTAATCTTCACCTGGAAATATACACATCAAAGCATCAGTCAGATTTCAAAAGTGCGATGATGTTCGAGTAAAAATATAACGCCATGTATTCATGAACAACATGATATCTATGATATACGGCGAAATCACTTTTCGACGAACCAATTCATCGATTTCGTATTTGTCGAACTAAACATAGTGGAAATTATTATTATTATTACTTAATAGATATTAGAACTATTTGTGTAATTAAATACAGTAAATTACAAAAAAGTGTCTAACACGACTCGTTATAAATATACGTAAATGTATGTAAAGCAGTTATTGGTAATTGTAATATGTATTGGCTCTATTTCGTGGTTCAGCTCAATAGTAGAACGTGATGCTAATTACATGCACATTTATGATATTTTTAAAGCGGGGGTGCCGTCACCTGCGCATGCGTGTCATAGTGTGTCATTGTTTACAAACAAGCGTCAACCCATGAGCCTTAGCGTTTTTAGCGTTTGTTATCATTGCTCGGGACTCAATTCCAGCGCGTGCGCAGGTAACGACCCTCCCACTTTAACTATCGGCGAAAGCACTGCAGTCTATCAACAAATACAGACGATGTTTTGTACATACCGATGTTTTTGCACGATTTTGCAGGGATCTTGATACCTTTGATGCATGCCGTGGCGTCCAGGTGGCATTGGTTGTGGTAGAGGTCGCCGTGGTTTGTGCAGACTGGTTGATACGTTGACGGGCAATCTTTAATGTTGACACATTTACACAGGGCAAACATTCCCTTGTATGAAATACATACCTCACCCTGTTGCTTACATCGGTATTTTTCACACGGGTCGGGTTTGTTTTTGAAGATAAACGCGGCTGTGATTGAAACAGGATTAAAAATAGAAATACAATTACGATGGAAAATGATCTTCATTTTGTTGCTATGATACGGTAGATTACGAAGCATGTTCTTTGTGGAGCATAATAATAAATGAATACACAATGTTTTACAAAAGCATGTCCAAGTTTGTACCTCACATTGACATTGGATTAACTGCGACACGGTGTATTTAGAGACGCGGTCTTGGTGATGAGTGTAACGATTACATATTGTTTAGGATAGCAGTAATCGGTGCATATATAATTCGACTCTGAATATAAGCCTGTATCGGACTTAATTATAAATCGGGTTTTTCTGATCTTCGCTGATTGTTTGGAGCACCGCTGAGGGCGCAACTCACGTGACTCGTCGGGCTCATGCTCTAAATTAATATCCAGTGAATATTCATCGTAGAATACAAGTATTGATTTCTTTACGGGTCAGTTAAGTTAAAGGCATAGTGAATGTGCATGCAACATCAAATCCCTAAATTTAATCCAGTGAATGTTTTTCCCCTCTACTACTACATTAGTTGTTTTTTGACCTAATTTTCAATAACCCAGGTGAGAGTACGAGGGATGAATACTTATCAAACACAGACATATTGCTATAGTTTCTACAAAATAACCTTGTTTGTCTATTAGAAATTGTTTTGTGTTTTCAGAGGTGTACTGAAACCTTGGGTGACTTGCGATAATTTTTCACTAAAACAATCACGCATGGCGTGAAGATACAATAGAAAGACAAGTGTCAACAAACCATTGTGTCTCATTATTCTGTTGACAACTTCCCATATGAGTTTCACTGCTTCCATTGGAAGCGAGGTGTATTATTAACTGATGATGTTGCGGACACTATACGATAAAGTCATTAACTGTCCCGAAGAATGCTAACTACACATAATTGTCCGAATCGCACAGTTTCGCTAAAGCCGGCCATTCATAATGGTCCTTGGCTGGAGAAGATAACTACACATCAATTAGCATGGATTATGAATAACACTATCCCAAAACACGTACAAGAAAGTTACGCGCACATACTGGTGTATATATTGCTGTGGACACTAGCAAGGTTGTGAAGGATACATGTTATACTAAAAGACATCAAGAAATTATAGACAACAACCAATAAAAACATCTCTTATGACAGAATGAGCATAATACTCGCCAATGGCAGCTATAATAGCGTTACATAATATTCTCATGTATAATTTATTATTAAATATAATTCATCCGGACAGTACAATTGTTTGGACGAAGCACATTCGTCGGAACTATTGTGGCATTTTCGGAAAGGGTTATTAGAATTTTTGTTCTATTTTTAAACATCAATAACACAACAAAATTACAAATTAGACTAGAACATTTAATACAACTGAAATTATTGCTGGAAGGCAAAGTGGACGTTGGTGAAAACATTAAAGAATAACAAAATCGGCATTAGCTTACGTGGGTGTTGCTCAGTATTTTGACATCAAACAAACATTAAATTGAACATAATTATTCCATCTGTATATGATTGCGAATTAGTAACTTTGTAATTTGACATATTTATGTATTATCGTCCAATGATTTTTACGTATTTTTCAAAGTACAAATATATACAGCCCTTTTTTCTGATTGATCCATATGGTAAACGGTCAGTGTGGGTGATATAATAAAAGACATATATATATTTATTACCGGGTAAGTATGTTATAGTTACCAATAATCTTGCCAATTAAAATTATAAACCTATAACATAAATCGACATAATTTTCAACTTAATATAACAAATCAAATAAACTCCATAGCACCCTGACTGTGTTCGTGACAGTGGTAAACTAGTTTTAGTAAATTGGGCCATTTGTTAGATATTAACACTATAGATTGTAGATGTGCGTGTTTTTTCTTTTTTGGAAATACAATAGATCATAATTTACCACAAACTAATTAAAAAGGAAGTGTTGTTAGTATATGAAATAATGAACCAATACCTGTAAAGTTACGTGGGATAATGCTAATGTGTACGATCCAATTAAAAGTACATGATTATTAATATACTTAAAGCCGGGCGTAAATTACTACATACCCTGTGTGTATGCCAAAATGCAATAGAGAACAACATATTGACACACTTTAAGTCTTTAATAAATTGTGTCTCAGTAAATCAAACAAAATATACATTCCGCCGAATGACATAATTACTTAGATCTGTCAATTTATTTCCATCGCAGGCCACAATTGTGTATATTAATATAAAAGCAATATTCCTCTTCCTCTCATACCCAGATTATGATCGACATACGTACCAGTGAGAATTATCTGCGAGTAGCAACACAGTAATAACACTTTTAGGATCGCCATCGTTAGACCCATTTTGAATTCACGACCTGGTTGTTTTTGCTGATAAGTGGCTTGCAATGTGAATAGGATATATGAAATGAACTAAATGACGCACTTGTGTATGTATACTGATTAATAATCATGGTCCGAGCTGTCACCAGGAGAACATATGCTGTACGTTCATAATCGTCACTACCAGTGGAGTGTAATAATACATCGGAATGCAGGGCGTGGCACCAATTAGTTATTGTGTGTGATGGATGAATATTTAATAAAATATTATTTATTGGGTCTTATTTATACATAACTGTATAATTATGTATTCTCCCATTGTGCACAATCACTACTCTTCTTCAGAAGTCTAGATCATCATTCAGTCTAACACATAAGATAAGACGCAAACAGGAAATGTAAAAATCGACGAATCCGCGAAGCAGATTTTTAGCCTAATATCGATGACGTCTTAGTGTCACGTGCTCCTCTGATCACAAGAGACATGGCAATATTGGGAGTAAAATTATATTTTCAACAGATGAAGTTTATGAGGCGTGCACCAATAGAATTATAGCAAAAATATATCGTATTCGTATTCTAAGAATGAAAAAAGGTTAGTATATGTTGAAAATGGTAAAACTGTATTGGCGACCAGCAGTGTAGATGACTGACAAGGTACACCAAGTTAGTCTCCCATACTCATACCCTAACAGACCCTAACATGGTCGGCGATAGTTATTGCGCCCTCAACAACGGATTCATATGGATTCAAACTACGTCGGCGAGGGCGCAATGCCTATTCCCAATCATGTCAGGCGAACATATTCACGAGTGTACATAAATTCGAATACGTAACAGATATAAATACATGGTTCATATCCATTTTTATTTACTTTGATATAAACAGAAAGTTAAATTACAGTGAAATTATTTCGAATTGTGCATATTTACATATATTGATGACGTAATTCATACACTGCGCTAAATATTGACTCGACACCTAATACTAAGAACGTGACGTCATCGCTATTTAATATTCATAACATACAACAATAAGTTGCCGAAACGAGTTCATTCCGACAAAAATGTAATAACAGATTATAGACACGTTAGAGAGTAGAAGTACGAATTACTGATTATAGTAATGCAACATAACAAATAGAAGAAAAACAAAAACACTTCTTAAAGTTTGTCTAAACTAATTAATTTAAAAGCACAATTGACAATTTAAGTGACTTTTGACCGAATCCGAAGCGAGACACAGTCCATTCAACAGTGAAGGAAAGACGATTACATAACATATATACAGAACTCAGAATTCGATATTTTGGTTCGCAACGCATGCAAAAATAAACTATCCACCAGGAATCATCACAACTGAATAAGTGAGACGACCCATCACTTGAACGGTTATTCGGATTAATTGTGTTAAACTGAACTAGATTTGATTCCCTTGTCTCATTTTTCGTGATTGTGATATATTTGCAAATACAGTTACTACTGGCAGTCACGTAAGTGTTTAAAGTGTACGCACATCTGAGCGGAAAATATACTGGAGTGTACACCACCAAAAAATATACCATTGGGTGAAATCACCAAACAATTATCATATTGTTTTCATATTGAACGCGTTTGTTTAAATTCGTAGATTTTTTAATTACATTCCCGTAAATGTACAACACGAGAAATTGAATTACTGTGATTGAAGAGAACTGGTGTTTCATACACATGACTCATCCTCTATGACGTCACCAGAAAGTCATCAGTACCATCACCACACCAGCTGTACCATCTATCAAAGCAACCAAATAACACATTCAGCAAACTGGGTGTCATTGTCATAAAACCCCGAATAATAATGCACACATTTTCATGTATTATTATATAATATTAATATTATACCTGCAATATGCACGCTATTAACGCTAACGCAATTGTTATCATTGCAGCGCCCTCTGTATGTGTTGCTGAATTATATCCATATCCTGCGTGAATTAAAAGAAAACTCATTATTTACAGGCGCGTGAAAATGCTTGAACTATACATGTTATTATTAATATTTCACAGCACAGTTGTCGTGAAATGCGGACAAAAGAAGTTATTGTTTCATACACAACTTTTATGACATACTGGAAATGGCCACGTGATCAAAACAGTCATACTAATTTACAATGTTTAGGTAGTCATCTCGAGGTTGAAACAGCATTGCACGTCCACATTTACCACTTTAAAACGAAACAAGTTTGTGTTTGTAAATACCGGTATATTGCACAAACTTTGAGGCTGGTCATGCCTCAAACAGTAGTTTAAAAGGTGTTTAAAAAGGCGAAGCGGTGAAACAAACTTTCTAACATATTCAATACATAGTACAGTACATCCGAAATATTTTGTAATACTTACTCGATTGCCTCGCATCGACTTTAATTCCGAGCACATCGCAAGCTATCTCATTAATATTTGTTTTAAATTCACAGGCGTACATATTCATGTAACACTTGTTGTTGTACATTTGTTTGTTGTCTCCACACACCGGTTCATACGTATCAGGACATATAGCCTCACATGCACACCACGCATGCGAGCCTTCATTAATGCACACTTGTCCCGGAAGTGGACACTGATAGTCCTTGCATGGATCTATAATTGAATATTATGAATAACAAGAAAAAATCGTATATTCAGACAGATGCAATGTCACGTGACCGCACTTCACAGCGTTACAATAACTGGCGCCCTCAGGCAAAGGAAATAATTCAGTGACGTTAAAATGATGTCAAAATATATAGGTGCAAGACGTTTCTTTCAAATATACAACGTTACTTTGTTGTGAAGTTGTGGAAAATACCAAATCCCTTAAAAACTGTATAATTTATTGAATGACGGCCATAGATAACTAAAACGACTTACGCCGCAACCGCATCGCCTCGTCACTAAAGAACGAACGCTATATACTAGAACACGCTTTTTAAATAAGATCAATCAAATTATCAAGTTCAATGAAGCTGTTGGGCAGAAGTTCGAATTGCCATAATAGTACATGTAATGGGAAATCGGAGCTTACTTACCCTCATCTAACGGGTCCAAACAAGCCGTACCACCGCACGAATTCTGACAACAAATTTTGTATCCCGGACATTCTTTATCCGAATTACAAATCTTTCGGCAGTTTCCAGCTAATTTCTCGGATATAATTGGACAATATCCGGGTTTTGCGTATCCAGTTTTACTGCCAGCCGTCCCGGCGTTGAGTGCGTTCTGACGATTGATATAATCCTGATCTCTATAATATTTGCTGTTGGTACGATAGTTAGTATCATACCTTCCGTCGCGTCCAAGTGGCGAGCCATAGCGAGGATCAATATTTTCAGCGTGCCAGTGATCATCGTGTTTGTAGTAACCATCTGAATCGTCATTGTTTTTATCGCGGTATGTTTCCTTATACCAGCGTCGATTGGCGTTGGCGTTGTAATATGGGTCGCTATTTGGATACCCTTGGTTAGCAATCGCATGTGTGCCGTACGCCTTGGAGTTGGCGGTGCGTCCCATGCCGTCCCTGTTTGGCTCTGCAAACTCAGATCCTGACCTCAATTGATTGTAGACGTTTTGGTACCGTTGATAGGCCACGTATGGGTTGTTCACTTCCCCTCCCGGTACACGGTCGGTTTTGTCACGCCATTCCTGTTGTTGTTGAGCCAGATAATCTCGCTTCTTTTGTGCTTCAGATTTATCTAAACAAATAACAATGACAATTAGCAATTCTGGTGCAGTATTTCTTTGAGGTGGGGTCGTAAAAAAGTTATATAAAAACTCAAACACACAAGTTTAACAGAGGAACAGTAACATTTTGTTTACAACAGCATGGTCTTAGAAACTAAATTCTCTCATTTGTGCGAGCCTGAGAGTAATAGAACCCCACATCCAAAAGGCGTTATATTGAATTTTTCACACAAGTTTGAGATTTTTGTCTTCTGCAAAACTAAATAAACCATTTTTCTACCATCTCCCATTTAGGTCTCATGCCACTAATTAACCAATTTAAATGCCCAGCAAGAACCAATGAAATTTTTTAAATATTATTTTTCTCAGGTGCTCTCTGTTTGAGGGCGTAATCACCTGGGTCAGAGGTGAGACCAACATGTGGTCTTTTTTTTACTAATTAGCGGCTGTGTACCTGTGGGTTTATTCTGTGTGTTAATGGATGTTCTAATCTTGGTGTTTTTCCAGTGATTTTTCTTGGTGCAATTCAAATACAGTAGGTGTGTCTTGTTTACCTGAGATTTGCAAGAGTTTGAGCTGGCCAACATGTTAGTTTTTTCATATGGTTGATTACTGGCATGTTGATTTCCCATTTTTGAGCCATATTTTCAACTTTCTTCGTTATTTTCATATAGCAATCTCGTCATATGTTAACATTGTCGTCTATGGAAATTCAATTAGTGGTATGAGCCCTTTAGATATATCACCTACACAATGGCGGCCAAGTATCGCGCCCTCTGGAGATAATTTAGTGTTATGTGACGTACAGACAGACAGACAGAATCGCCCCACGATAATGTGAAATCATAGTATTTTTGTTGTCGTTCTTTGGTTATGTAGCCATGGACTCATGGCGTTGTCAGAGTGGGCGTTATGAGCCCCGCTATGGGGGTGATGCGCACATTTATCGAATAGAAAGGTGACCAAATGCGGGCTATTTATGACCAGAACCTCGACTTGTCTGTAAAAAATTTCAATTACTAGTAAATTTCAAGGTTATTGCTGGTGAACTCGTGCGCATTGCGTGTATTCTTCCGCTTTTGCTATAGCAGGATCCATTGCGGTAAATATCGCATGTAAATATCGCCCACTCTGACAAATCTGACCAAGGGTTCAGTGTCACATCATCCCATTTTCAGATAACTATAGTATATGTATGTATTTCTTACGTCCGATAAATTGATTTGAATGTTAATGCAGTCCTAGCTGAGAAAAAACTATTAACTTCAAATTAGACACTGAATATATCGTTGACTTTTCCACAGACAAAATCATTTTCTCAAGTTACCTAAAATAAAACTACTGCACCCCAAAACGTTTGTTTAATACAGGCTATTTTTTGTTTGACGGTGTCTGTTTTTGCGCCTCAGAAATTCAAATTAATAATCCAATGCCAAATATGGCGCGACGATAGACGGCAATTTGAGGTCATATTTGTTTTGCATTTTAGCCATACAGACACTTATCAACACAAGAATGTAAGCGTTAAATCGCACGTTATCCTGGTAAATTATCTGCTAGGTCCGCGATAGCAAAAACAAGGAAGCCACAGATTAATAAGGTTAATTCATTATATAAATGGCAAAATTTTTCTGATATACTGTGTAACACGCCAGGTGTTATTACTATATCCCACGTGTTTTTGTCATTTTCGCCATATAGTTTAAGGTGTGAAACAATGAGCACAGATGACTTTTGTGGTATCAAACGAATACACATATTGTAAACTGTTCATGGGATGGGATGTTCATGCTACACATGCAAACAACATGCAGACACTGGGAAAATGCAATTACAATGCAATTCATTTCCATCATCTAGTTATCATAAATATACGCCATATGATATGTTATACCATCACGCGTGTTCTTTGGTACCACATATGTACTGTTTAAGTTTTGATTTAAAACATAAAAAAATGGCTAAAACACTTTAGGTGATATAACGTATTAAGCTTTCGTATTTATTTTGTCTGTTATAATGACCTCGATTTTTTTTTCAAAAATAAAATAAATTTAATACAGTTATTTTGAGTTTTTTACCGTCAATAAAGTCAGTATGTTTGCGCACATATTTTGCTTCGGGAAACAATTTACATATTAGTAATTAAAATAATTAATTATAAAATATGTGCGCTTTTTACCTGAACCATAATTATTATTCATTAGATATTCACAACAAAACCGATTCCCATGATTCATTACGAACACCTGAATTCACAACCAAAAACATGTACTGTTATTTTGTTCTCCGCCATCTGCGAAGAAATCCGCCCACTGAATTACAACGCCGTTAAAGAATAAACAAGTTCTTGTATTGGCAAACGTTAATAAATGTTTAAGTGCTCAAGTTGTGAGGTAGATGTCCATCGGCTTTGTTTGTTTTGTAATATTTGAAAATCCAGTCGTCACAAATAATGTCTAACAGTAACGGGTTTTCGATCTTGCTGATTAAATGCGCTCAGCTCAATTAGTACTAGCTAAATTTGTATATTCCAATAAGTCCAATGTATTTTAAGGACTAAGTTTAGCAACTTGTAAGAGAACCGATTTTTTAGAGCATGATACTACATTTGAGTAACTGCGAATCAAAGTTGAGCAGAATGGATACTTACATTGAGACTGACAGCACACACAGACGATAAAACAAAAGAACAACGCAATACAACTTTGCCGTGGAACCTGCATGTTACACGTTATTATAGTCTAGATCTTGATGTGAAATGCGAAGACACAGAAATAGGCTCACTGCTATATATGAAGTCCGTCACGGGTATGGCTGGGGTACAAATTCCAAAATGTTAAACGTCACTTCCGCTACGTCACCAGTATACACGTTGGTACTATATTTGGTAACTGAAGCGCTATCTGTAGAACAGTGCGCAAGGTTTAATTTAACTCGTGCAAGTTAATAAATAACAGAAAAACTAGTGTAATGACATACCTAGTACTCTATGGACCATACATTTGCAATCGACGACATAGGTAACGTTTTGGTGCACCGGGATGTTTACTACCAGTTATGCGCACAGATTGTCAAAACATATTAACAGCTAACGCCAAGAGCAACAACTTCAAGGAATATATTCATACGTCTTAGTTACAGTAGGTATTTATTTGAGAAGATAAGCAGATTGTTTTTTTACAATAAGGTGTAAAACCCCATACAAGTTCCGGGTACTTTGAGGAGGAAGTAACAATCCACTTACTAGTTTCCTCGTTATGTTTCTCACTGCGAATATCTACAAAGCACACAATTACCTAATCAAAGTTGTTTGAATAACAAATATCCCCAAAAGTTCTCGTTTATATTCGTGAGCTTTTTGATACAGTCGCTGGTTCATGTACCTTTAATTTATACGAATTTAAATTATGTGTACTGCTGTCTTTATAAACGCATTAGACTTAGTATTTTAATTCATTCAGAATTGTCTTTAACTTCTTGTGCTGAATTGTTTCCGAGTCTGTCAGAAAATAACAATTATTATAAAAACAAACATAGTATTACTACGGATTAATTAATTTAAGCACCCAAAACATATAAATATTTTACAAACAACATACCATGTATTACTTCTGGAATTTGTTACTGATTATTTCTATGGCCTTTAGCATGATAATTCAAATTGATAAACTGTTTTGTTACGTAAGATGTTTTTACCAACATATGTTGCATCAAAAGAAAAGAACACGTAAAATGGAGGTACCTGAAGTCCATGTCTAAATACATATAATTTTAGAATATAATTCAGATTGTTATCTTATTTGTGAAGTTTGTGTGTAAAGCTAGTGAATACATTTACTAATGTTAAAATGGCTACCAATGGTCAAAGTGCATTTCTCATTCGCATTGTTCTTTTAGATCAATATTATTGAGATGAAAGGGTCAACGAAACTCAACAATAGTTAATTGTTAATCTTCAAGCACACTAAAGTTAGAATAGAATAACTTCAATCTGAAATAAGTGTCGAGAGTGACTCAAAAAAACTATTCACAAAATATTATCGACCGACAGATTCAGACAAATTCCAAGATAATGTCAGAACATATATAACCGCTTTCATGTTGTACCAACTAATATACAATTTCAGCCATCTATAACCAAATAATTTTGCCATTTTAGGCATAAATAGGGGATAATTCAATACAGCACATGAAATAACTGATTCTTTGTTACATTAACATATTTGTTGGGATTAAAGAAAACAGGTTTTAGCATTTCAAAGTAATATATATATAGATATATATCTTTGTGTGATAGTGCTTCTAACACGGAAACAATAGGTAACATTTTATTAAAAGTGAAAATAAATGCATACTAAAATTCAAATTCAGAGTTAGGCGTTCGACTCCCAGTGACATGAGTAGGCAAAGCGCAGTATATTCTACATTTTAAAGTCCAAAGTATCATTTTTTAAAGATTATTTTGTTTTAGGAATGGAACACAGAAATAAATGTGGTGTCCGAATTACGACAGGTAGAGCAAGGAGTAAAAGAGTTTCACGTGACAACAGCATACTGACTTATAAAGAAGATGGTACAGGGGGGAATGGACTTTATATTACTGATTATACTCTTTCTCCTGAACAGAGTTATTTTGAGGTAATGTTCAGTATTTTTGTTCATATCTATCTATAATGACTTTTTTAATTGCTTTAGCCTTTGTGTATTTTTAAAATCATCATCCTTTTGATCCGTTCGCCCACCCTATGTAATCACACTACTATAATACATACTGCCACATGAGTCTTCTATTCAGAACACTTTTCACGGAGCTTTATTTTCAGCGAGTTGTCAAATTATACACATCACATTGTCATCATCATTTAATGATGTACAGTTAAACAGAGATATCAGAAATATGAGCACACCCTTCTCTACCTGTGACTGTCGTCATTCTGTATGATATTAAATCCAAGTCATTTATAATAAATTTGTTGTATATTACCTCGAATAGATTGAAATTCTGGACCAAGGTGAATTAGGGGCAATAACAATGGGGTTAGTTCCGGAAGGATATAAGTTACCCCACCAACCAGGATGGCGTGAATACTCCGTCGGATACCATGCTGATGATGGAAAGTAAGTAAGGCCTGCTTATTGATGTTGAGAAGGACACCCACAGAACTCACATAGGGGTAGACAAGACAACAGTACTGAACATGAAATACACATACACCAAAATATGAAGTTAAATCTACTGGCTTTAATACCTCTCAAAATAAATAATGAATAACAAAGCACAAAATAATACAATAAATAAACTCACTAAAATAGGGGATTGTCTAGGGAAATGTGTATTGGTGACAACTCACAGTTCCAAAATGTAGAAATTGACAGTCAATGGCTTCTTTCAACAACATACAGGATTCTTGCTAGCAGAGGAACGCTGTTATTCTGGAGGGTACCGCTCATAGCAGGAGATCGCAGAGTAGTTCATAGAAGTCTCACAGAATGATGATTGAAGCCTGTATCACTTATTATTGTAGCACACAGAAGTGAAATTGAAAATCCCAACTGTCCTCAGTCTAGCTCATTTATAGAACATTATTTCACGATGACACCAGACACTCACATAAACAACTCAGTAGATCGTAAACATCCTTTGTTATGTAAATCACAAGCACACCTGGTATATTCCAAATATCCTTCCAAAGTTGTAAACATCCTTTGTTATGTAAATCACAAGCACACCTGGTATATTCCAAATATCCTTCCAGAGTTGCAAACATGCTTTGTTATGGAAATCACAAGCACACCTGGTATATTCAAACTATCCTTCCAGGGTGGCAAACAAGTATGACCTGTCAATCACCTTTATGACAGTTATCATACGGCAATGCACACCGGTTCTTCCCATGATTCCATACACACTTCTATTTGCAAGCTTTGAGGCAATATATAAAAACATAGAATAAAAGATTCATACAGTCAGTAATGAGTTTGATTTGCCCAACCAATTCGTTATGCAATGACCTTCTTTGAAAATACCGTTCGTATTCAAATTCAAATTTGAGTAGTTTTGTAATTTTGTTACACATTGTGCGACATTGTTACATACACACTCACACAAGGTATATCTATAGAATGTTGGTATAGTATATCAAATTGGATTAAGAACACACTGGTAGCAAGTGGTTGTCGCATCAGACTCATGATCGGTAGACCTAAGTTCAAAAGGGTCGACCCCTACCCTGGGTGAGTGTGCAACAGACTCAATAAGAAGGCCTATTCCACTGGCCGAGATTCATTCACGAAAGGGTGCGACTTTGGGGAAGCTTGGTTAAGGTCCGCAGGTGCTTGTGTTCAACCGAGCCTGGTTGACGCCAGGATAGCACATTAAAATTACCATTTGATAGGAAGATGGCAGCACAGCCCTGTCACGTAGTCCCAAACATGAATATGACTTCTGCAGCAAAAATGCACCATGTGTCAGCACTTGCAATTTGCACATACAAAAAAAAGTCAGGAGAGACAACAGTGGAATTCAATGTCCGGAACTGTCGCCTGGTACAAAAAACATTTAAAAAAAAGAACACACAGTTTACTAGTTTTGACTTCCAAGTGCAATACAATCCCACTCTGAGTCCACCAAACAAACGACTGACTATCCACATTAACCAATGATAATCAAGAAGAAAACGTCCACATAATACTTACATAAACATGAGAAAAGAGATACATTTTTTACTACAAATTAATGTTTTCTATATCATTTTGTAGATTGTATAAAGAAAGTAGTACTGGTACACCGTTTGGTGATAAATGTCATACAGGAGATGTAATGGGATGTGGAATTAAATTTAACCAAATGAAATATGGCGATTCTGCACAGAAAACATTACCCGTGTTCTTTACAAAAAATGGCAAAGAGGTTAGAGTAATTTATGTGTATTTCATTCATATACTATATTATTTTCATAATCAGTAAATAAAAGATCATTATTTATTGGTAAAATGATTTCATCAACACCAATGTTTCAATTATAATCATACATGTCACATCCCACTTCTATGTTTAGGTTGGCACTGTAGTATGTGAATTACCAACCAATGGATGGTTTCCTGCTATTGGTTTGAACTCGGTAGGTGAAATGGTTCGACTCCATGAGGATTCTGATTGGATGATAAACAAAGGTATGGTTATAAAAAGTAGATCAAACATACCGGCACCTGTATTCCTTCAATCGCTCACACAACCAGTTTAAATTTCATTCTTCTACTGTCAATGGCTATTTCAAAATGCTAATGATATACTTCTACTATATATACAAGAAAGGCGAGTCGTTCTATGTTACCTATTTTATTTCCATTTCTCCAAAGAAATATACCCCACTAACCTGGGGGAACAGGTTACAATGCGAAAGTTACAGGCGTGACTTTTTTATATGTAACATTCATGTATATCATTTATATTTATAAATAATAGTGAAGAAAGCTATAGATGATCTGAAGGCACAAACTGGAATGGATACTCATGCTGTAGTCAAGCTTGTCCAAGAAAATCTGCTACAGGTTTCCCTGGATGCTCAATATTGTCTGATGAGATTCGGGGACTATCTGGCTGATATTGGTGGTGCAATGGAGCTGACTAAGCTGGTGAAACGCATGCGCACAATGAACGCTGAGTTTGGAATGGATATTGTTATTGCAACGTGCTTGAATTATTCACATGCAAGTTTCAACCTTTGCAAAGAGTTTGGGGAAAGCGGTCTTCTGGAAATTATAATCAATGATGTAAGTCATTGTATAACAGAAAAGCAGGT